CCTCACGGCTAGCATGCCATCCGGGGGTACATCGTACCATCTCCCTCCTGAAACGTTACTTCTGGTGGCCCACCCTAGAAAAAGACACCAGGGAGTAAGTAGCCGCCTGTGCTCCCTGTGCTCAGTCCAAGCCCTTACATCAGTCACCCGCTGGTCTCCTTCGGCCGCTGACTACGCCTAGCCGGCCCTGTTCTCACATAGCCCTCGACTTCGTCACCGGTCTTCCTCCCTCCCAAGGCAACGCAGTCATTCTCACTATTGTTGACCATTTCTCCAAGGCTGCTCATTTTCTTGCCCTTCCTCAGCTCCCCACTGCTCTCGAAAGTGCCCAGCTCCTGGTTCAACACGTTGTTTGCATCCACGGCACTCCCCTCACCATTGTTTCCGACCGCGGTCCACAGTTCACCTCACACGTCTGGTCAGCCTTCTGCACAGCCATCGGCGCTCGCCCCTGTCTTTCCTCAGGTTATCACCCCCAAACTAATGGTCAGGCTGAACGGTTAAACCAGGAGCTGGAAAACGCACTCCGCTGTGTCTCCAATTCCGCACCTGAAGACTGGAGTCTGCTGTCCAGGTTTGCTCGGCCGCTCTGGCCTCCCTCACCTTTCCTACTGTCTCTTGCCCAATTACTCTTATCATGTTCACCTGTTCCTCACTCCCTTATCACCAGCTGCACTTGATTAGGTTACTCACTATATTACCCAGTTTCACTCAGTCACTTGCCAGTTCGTTCTAGTCTCTAGGCCAACTTTACTCCATGCGTTTTCATTGTTTTGTATGTATTTATCCCCTAGCCAGCTACTGTTTTGTGTTTCCCCCCATGGACTGTTCCTCCGGACCGTGGCTCCACTCTCTCCTCCCAGGCAGGTGTTTTGTTGTTATAGCCTGCAACATTACTGTTTTGGTTCACTGTCAGGGCTCACATATTGACATTTTCAGCCACATCGGGCAATTGTTTTCAGCAAAAAACGTTCTGGCACATTCTCTCTACACTATCAGCTCAGCACCAAACAGCAGACAGAGTTACTGACAATTTGGTGAACACACTGTACTGGAGAATTTAGCAGCAAAAGACACCAATATTTTCCTCAGAAGACAGTGGGATGAAAACAGAACTAAAAAGAGAGCGAATATTGGATTTGCATTCATCAGGAGGACAAGCATGACCCCAAATTCATAAGAATGTTGCTCAAAATCTACTGAGCTCAAAGGTGTCAAAAAACAACGAATCGTTATCTGTATGTGTGCATGCACCAACCTCAACAACATGTTGCAGCTGCAGTGCATTTGAGGTCACAAGGAGTCTTTCTCCTTCTTTCCTTTTACTAGATTTCTACATGTGAACCGCTTCCCCTCCGACTAATAAAACACTTGCAGTAACTGTTAAGGATGAATACAAAACATCTGATCCTACTTGATGTTTCAGATCATTGTACTAGAAATACCAATGAGCAGCAGTGTGGATACTGCAGTTATAGATGAGAATAAGAACAACCAACCAAGCAGGCTGTGTATCATCCATGGTTATGGATATTTGAATTATGAATGATATCTTTGAATGATGATGAATGATGTTTACATAACATTCATCATAAACATGAGATACTAAGTGTGTGTGCTTCCAGACCTAATATGAATATGAGGGATTTGTTGAGAAAGCAGTCTGTGCAGCAACACAGCAGCCAGTGATTACAACCTATGTTTTGATGAATTATATCTGATTTAATGCTCTGTTTTGCATTATTAGTTAGAAACAGATAAATGGGAGCTTGGACTCTGGACTGTTGCTCTGTGTCACCCTGCTTGGCTCAGCTTTATGACCTCTTGGGGAGATTCAAGCACTTTGGCTCTATTGTCCCAGTTCATTCACAAAACCAGGTTTCAAATTTCACATCTTTTGCCAAGAACCGGGAAAAGAAATTGTTTTCCTATGTTTCAAAGCAAATTTATATTCATGACTTTCAGCTTTCGACATCTTAATAAATCAAGGATGAACAGTGTAACTGGGGGTCCAATTTACCTATTCAAAAAGGGAACATGCTATTTCAAGTTTAGTTAACTTCATTAATTATTTTACTTACTATGTTAGCACAGTGAGAACATGCATGACAGTGACTAGATCACACTGGTTGTTTCACAGCGCCCACAGTTATCACCCCACCAGTAACTGTGAAAGCTATGCTGTTCTACACTGACTCATTTCTGTTTGACCAGCCCCAAAGCAAACTTAATCAAAATGAGGCCCATGAAAAAGTTTGGAAACCTCTGGCACACCTATTTATTTATGGGTAGTACAATATAAATGTCTGTGCGTGCGTGTGTGTGTATGTGTGTGAGTGAGTGTGACAGGAAGGGGGATGTGGTATTGCTTGATGACAGAAAGGTCACCCTATAGACCAGAAGCCTACACGGAATTTAGCGCACGTGGAATCCCTTAAAATTAGGCAATTCTTTATTTGACATGTTTATACCGCAAAGTTATGGGTAAAAGAAACTGAATGTATACGTTTTCTAAAAGGCCAGAAACAACTCCTCAATTCGGCACAAATTCAATACATCAAGACACAGCTTACTGCAAAAAAAGTTTACTTTTATCTGGAATTAACGGTGCTCGCCAGGGAAGAAGACTGAGGACAACTTAGTTGTCAAAGTAGAATTTTTACTCAAATACGTGTTGCATTATGTATTGAAGTCATGTCGAATTGAACAGTGTATCATAAAAAACTGAATGGCTCCTCAAACCATCTTCGGACTCTGTGTAGGTTTTCTTACAGATGAAGAAACACTACTTGCCAGATATTTAAACGCAGTTCGCCGTGAGGACTCAAACCGCGTAACGGCGCGTTTTGGGGGGCTTCAACACCACGGCTTCCTTCACAATAAAAATGCTTGTAGAAAGAAAATAATCACATGTAAATTCATTTGTATTTTATATGTGCTTCAGCAACTAGCAAATAATATTCCGCAAATATCAGGATGCTAGGATGTGTGGAAACTAATTGGAAATTCGACCACTCGCCACGCAGACAATCGATGAGCCTTCTAAAACGATTTGCGTTACACACTGCACACCTAACGTTAATAAAATGACAAACAATGAATAAAATCATTTTAAAGGAATGACAACGTAGAGCCGAAAAACGATGGAATTGCACCGTTAGAGATAAAAGAAAAAAAAATTTAACAAAAGGTTAATACAGTCCAAATTCCTCGCGGCACTTTGCTTCTTTGGGGGAACAGAAGATACCTACCTTCTCATTGAGTGGAATGATTTGGTCCATTTTATCGTCATTTTGTAAAAGCTCCCGCAGCTCACTTGCGCGTAAAGCCCTGTAGCCGTCAGGACAAGTGTTGGACTCTTTCCAGTTGGACATTTTATCCCCGCAAATTATAAATGAAGACGGTTTGGAGACATAAAGTCCGCACAGCGCTTACATCTTGCTCACATCGGAATGCGCATTTAGCGTAAAGGGGAAACTGTTAGCCATTACACTTCCTTCCGCTACCTTCAAAATAAAATACCGTCACAAAAACAAAATACCGTATACAAATATAGTAGATTAATAAAGTCAAAATATTTCCAAAATTTGTTTACAGTTACATTATAGTGCTACAGATTCAGCTATATTATAATTAAATGTCAATAGTAGTTGCACAAAGTAGATGGCTACTTAGTAATAAAAGCTGAAAGAAGAAAATCATAACCTCAAAATTATTTGTAATTGCTCACATTTTATCATCATGTTACTGAAAAGACTTTTTTGTGTTTTCCCAGCTGACACTGGGCGGTAGACAGGGTACATCCTGGACAGGTAGCCAGTCTGTCACAGGGCTGACACTTAGCGACAGACAACCACACACACCCACACTCACCCCTACAGGCAATTTAGAGTCGCCAGTCAACCTAAGATGCATGTCTTTGGACTGTGTGAGGAATCCACAGCACACGGGGAGAACCCATGCAAGCACAAGGAGAACATGCAAACTCCACACAGAAAGGCACTTTGGAACCTTCTTGTTGTGAGGTGCCACCATGCTGCCCTCCATTATATTTCAAATAAAGAGATTGACTCTTTAGACAAGTATTTTTAATTGTCAATTGTAGTTTCTGGTTGCTTCTCAAATTAAGATTAATCATAACAACACAGACCTATAAAATACTGTTGAAGTTTCCAACTTTTTTGACTTATGAATTCTCACAAAATAGTAGTGTCATGTTTCACATGTATATGATTTTTTAGCATTTCCACTAAGGAGGCATTTTGTCACTATTCATGCTCTACCCTGTTCATTTTGTTCATTCTGCCCCTCTTATGCTGTCAGCTGTCAGCATCAGTCTCACTCCCTCAGGCCTCTGTATTTTCTCAAATGTCATTCCTCAGCTTCCCACCAGATGGCGTCAGAATCTACCCCCCCTTCCGGGTCACTTGACTTTACCTGCCCACTCACACACCTGCTTGACTGTTGTAAATGGTAAATGGTCTTATTTGTGTTGCTTTGTATAGCGCTTTTCTATGCTTTGCAGCACACTCAAAGCGCTTTCACACATTCACCCATTCGCACTCACAAACATTCATACATTCATACACCAGTGTTATCACCGGGAGCAACTGGGGGTTAACTGTCTTGCTCAAGGACACTTCAACATGTTGAATTGAATCACGAGTCCTCCGGTTAGAAAATGACCCACTCTACCTCCTGAGCCACAGCCGCCCCCATTGCCACTTGCCTGTTCCCTGTTCTGCTTTTGTTCCTGTAACCGCCTTCCTGCCTGTTTTACACTAAGCATTGGTCATACATGTCCTCATCTGGGTCCTCCCTGCCTGTTCTCGATACACCCACTGTGTGATGCATTTCTTTTACTTTAATGGTTTATTTTATATTGTTTATTGCTATTTTTACTTAAGTAGAATCTGATTACATCTGTCACCAATGATTTAACATTATGAGAACTGCCCTAATTTTGTTTGCAACTGCCTGTGCCAGCATTTTTGACTTTTAAGCATTAAGAAAATTAACTCAGGTTTGGATTCTGAATGTACAGTTGGCAACAGTAGACCCACAGCACCAGTTTTGCTGACTGTTGCTGGAACTGTTGCCAAACAGTGGTTATGTGTGTAAACTCTGGTTTCAGTGGACAAGGCATTCATTCTTTTTTTGCGAACTGAGGAAAATGTGTCATGGATAAGTCAGCCATGAACAAAAAGTATTGCCTTTCTAACCAAACATTATGTTTTTGAGGGTTTTTACTGTCAAGCGTTGCAAATACACCCTCCTGTCTTGGAATATGTAAATCATCATTTGAAAAGACACTCACAGTCTAGCTTTATTCTGCAGGATTAAGAATCTGTGGATTTGTTTTTCATCTTTGGAAAGCGTGATAATCGTCCTATAACATTTTTACAATACATGGATCATTTACCCATTTTCAAAATTACAGTACAGGCCCTAGTGCAATACAGCACATGTGTTCCCTTGTGTTTTGTGCAATAACTCTTGATTTAATAGCTTTAACATGCAAACTATTCTGATAAGTACACTCACAAGGCTTGAAAGAACTCGAGAACTGCTAAAAAAGAAAAACAAATGAAAAAAGCAAAAAGTCACCTGAGAAATTCCACCAATAAAAGGCAACAACAGGCTGGAGAACAAGTTAAAAAGCAAAACAAAAACTAAGACATTCACAGCACAAATTGCACCCAATTATAGTATTCAGTGTAAAATTTAAATGTTGTTTTAAAGCTGTGGCATGTTTTAAGTACTGTTCTGGCTTTGAAAGCGGTTCCGTGCAGTTGTTTTAGACTGAGTCATGTCCAAGAAAACATTTTGAATTTGAAACTTCATCTCAGCTGTCAATTCACAATAAATAATAACTGAAATACTGTAGACTGTACTGTTGGACAGCCATGTGTGGACTTTTGTAAATTACAGTGACTGGTGCACAATTCAGTCAAGACCTGTTAAATTAGAAAGATTCTTTCCCTTTTGAAGCAGTGTCACTCACAAATTATTGACTGTGTAGAATTAGTGGTGCAGAAAAAAATTTACATAAGCACAAACCCTGTGACTATTTTACATGTACTGTATATCTAGGTTTTATGTGTATACCCTCTTGTTATAAAATAGGAAACTGTTGTTGTGTTGATATCAGGAGCCCAAAATGGTTCACACAGATAGAATTTGTCAAGGTTGAAGAAAATTAAACCAGATACCATCTCAAAATAACCTAACAAATCCACCGCCACTGCTTGTTAACAAATTTATTTTAAAAAAAATCCAAGTATTTTGTTAAACTATCCAGATTAAGGTTGATATATGACTTTGTATCAATCAATTATCATGATTTCAGATGTTGTTGCTACCAGGTATTGAGAGCATTATCATATGTCATCAGTCAACTAATGGATTATTTATAGTCACATATCACTGGATAAAAAGACTGTTACACCATGCCAGCAATATTGGTTAAAGTTACAAGTTAAAAATTATGGCTAAAAGCTCCAACAGTAGAATGAAATTTCTTGTGTCTAAGTACCACTTCCACTTTCAGCAGTTTTAAGCCTCTTCAGTGGGTTGGTGTTCTTTGTCCCTTTCTTATTAAGCGCATAGTAAAATACAATTGGTTTCATCTGTTATTTTTTCATGAATAACATTAAAAACTACAAATGAGCAAAAAGAAATTTGTAGTAAGGTAAAGTCTTCTGGTTTCTCTGCTCAGCAGTATCCAGGTTAGAAAGTGTCATTCGGGTTAATGCTGTGGTTTTATCCCAAGTCGTCATAGTCCTCTTCGTCTTGATTTTCATCTTCACCTCCAATGTCATCATAGTCCTCTGTGGAGGCATTGTCTGCTGCTGAATCTGGATCCTCGTATGGTGGAGGCGGAGGGATGATCTCCTCCTCATTCTCCAGCTTCAAATAGTCAGGTTGCTCGTCCATGTTCTGCTCGTATTCAGGTGACGGCGGCGGGATGATCTCCTCCTCATTCTCCAGCTTCAAATAGTCAGGTTGCTCGTCCATGTTTTGCTCGTATTCAGGTGACGGCAGAGGGACGATCTCCTCCTCATTCTCCAGCTTCAAATAGTCAGGTTGCTCGTCCATGTTCTGCTCGTATTCAGGCGATGGCTGCTCGTAGTCATGTATGTCCTCCTCAGAGCTGACATTGTCTTGCTCGCAGTCAGGTACCTCAGCCAGGTTTTCATAGCTTTGGGCCGCTGCAACAACACATTTCAGGCAGAGTTCATTACAGTGTTTTAAAGGGTACTGAAGCAGTGGCATGGTGGTACAGTAAACTGAAGCATTAATGGCCAGTGTATTAACAATTTTGATTGGCTTATTGCATGAGTTGAGATCATTTACCACAGAAAGCCATTTACATGAATGATTTTAAAGTACTTACAATTCAATTTGATAGGATTCCATAACTTTAACATTGATTAGAATATGTGGTCATTCTTGGGTCTGAGTCTAGCTTTTCAGATTTTGCAAAAACATCACTCCACAAATGGCTTCAATATTGTGTATTGTTATTGTCATCAGTGGTCACATGTTTGTTTGGTCTGTCATGCTGCCCTCCATTATATTTCAAATAAGGAGATTGATTCTTTAGACAACTATCACATTGGCTTGCGATATCACCAGTGTAATTCCTTTTTGCGCTTTGAATTGATCATATGACTCAATACTTCCCCTCAGAATTCCCCCTCCTCTTAGAACTAACATCCTCCATTACTTTTGCCACATTATCACAAGATACATAACATCATCCAGTCTGCTATTAGACAATAACTTAAAATCTAGAGATCCAAGTGAGCCTTGCCTGCTGTGAGAAATTGTTTCCGAGAAGGTAGAGCAGGGATGTCAAGGTTTCGTTCCTGGTATTTGTTTTCACTTCTGAAAAGTTGAAAAGAAAAATGCTGAAATGAATCTTCTCTAGTCAGGATCAATAAGGAAAATCTGACCTAAAGGCACTTATTCATTTTGTTGCTGAGAGATACATGAGAAGAGTGATATCAAAGTCATTCCTGTTCTTTCAGTACGAGTACAGCCAACAGCTAATTATCAACTTAGCATAGGTACAGATGAAAATTAGGCTGAAGCTGTGGTCTCAAATGGAAATAAATATATCTACTTTTGTGCATGTTGCCTTAAAAATAAAATGAATAAATAATGACTGTAAACCCCAGGAACATGTTTAATTCTGTCACAAAGACTAATAAAAGAAATGCTGAATGAGTTTTCTGTGCTTCTTTGTTTACTTTCTTCTACAGCACAAGTAGAGAAGCTATACCCATACTTCACACACTACAACCTCGTTAAACACTTTATATCCTTTTGTAATGTCATGTAACTGTTGTCTTGTATCCCATGTTCGGTACTGTTTTGTTAATGTGTTACTTTGTTTCAATGTAAAAAAATATATATATATAACAAGTAGAGAAGCTAGCACTCTGTCCGTTATGTGACCCTTGACTTGAAGATTGTAGTGGTTGTTATCATTTTAACACAGTTTTTTGTATAGATTATATATTGTATAGATAAGATAAGATAATATAAACAAGGTAAGAGATTAATTAGTGAGTTTTTGGAGGCAAACTCCTGCTTTCAGTTTGTATGCAAAGCTATGATAACCACCTCCAGGGTGTATTTTAAAAGACAGTTGTTATCAGTCTTTTTATTGAAATTTTAGCAAGAAAATGAAAATATGTATTTCCCAACATGTCAAACTATTCATTTTCTTATATAGTACACTACAATTCAACTTTTAATAATACACAGAAAATTCATGTATTAAATATCAAATTAGAAAATACATGGTATATTTTTATACATTACTTGACACTCCTGACACTGAGGCTAGATTTTTTCTGAAGCTGTGAGATTCTGTGTTTGCCTGTAGAAAAAAACAAAGAAAGTGAAGTTAAATTAAAACTAGCAGGAAAAAGAAAACTCTTAAAATGAATTTTTGAAAAGCTTTACAGCATATAGTATCAAGAAAGAACTAAAGGGCTTTATTAGTTCAGTAACAGGTGAGCAAGAGCAAGCCTGGACTATGTTGTTACAAATCAGAACAAAAATAAACACTGTGGGGTTTTCTGAGAACATATAACAAGGTCCTTCATTAACCTTTCCCTTGGGTGTTTTTCTGTTTATGTCAAATATACATATGATTATCTCATGATTATCACTTGTTATATTTTATTCCCTTTATTTACTTTATGCCTGTCCATTCTCTAAACCATCACTAATTCTCTCCCACTGCTGCTGCAGCCCAGCAGTTTCATCTGAGCTAATCAAATCTAAAGGGTACTACTAATAATAGCAAGTCATACAATTATAATAGTTTTTCTTTTGTTTTGCAATAAAACTCAGAGATAGTGATCGCCTGGTTTGGTTTCTCTTTTTGTTCTGCTTTTTGGCATGTGGTAAAGAGCAACAGTGGACTGGATTTTTAAATATGTACAAAACAGCTATTACTTCTAAAAATGAAACTAGTGTTTATTGCTCACGTCATTTTACTGTAAATGTAACTTTTACATGAATCTGTGTATGCTTGAAAAAGAAAGTATATTAGATGACAATGATGGTGTGGTCCTTTTTGCACTAGTGAGATGTATCAGTTCTTACTCTACTTGCCACTGCTGGCCAGTAGTGGGATATACAGTTGCTTAAGTACTTCAATTCCATGTTATTTTATACTTCTACTCCACCACTGTTAACAATAGCTACTAGCTAAGCTATAGCTAACAATATATACTGCTAAAAAAAATAAAGGGAACACAACATAAGACATCCTAGATCTGAATGAATGAAATATTCTTATTAAATACCTTGTTCATTACATAGTTGAATGTCTTATTTTCCCTTGTGTTCCCTTTATTTTTTGAGCAGTGTATGTTACTGAGCATTAGTGGTGGAAATGAACTCAATTAAATCCATTAAGTACAGATTTGAGGTACTTGTGCTTATTTAAGTATATTCATTTTGTATTAATTTATACTTGTACTTCAATCCAGAGGAAAATAATCCACTTTTTACTCCTCTACATTTACTAACAGCTGTAGGCTATTTGATAGTTTATATTAAAAAAAACATTAAATAGCATTTTGATGCCTTGACATTGGTACTTTTGCTGAAGAAGCAGATCTGAATACACCTTCTACCACTGATGGGTATGACATCAAAATGTTATTATAACTTTAAACATTTAATTTATGAAGTGACAGAGGACAATAGCACATTTTGTTGAGTACTAACAATTATAGTTACTAATACTAATACAATACTGCTTCTAACTATCAATGTTAGTACAAAAACCTAAGAAGCAGAAGTATTCTAATTATTAAACGCTAGTAGTAGGAGTAGTTAATTAGCATGTAATGGAGGCATATGTGCACCAAAAGCTGCTTGTGCTGAACACAGAACATAATCAGGCTCAAATAAAAGTTAGGTACCAAGTTTAAGTAAAACTCAAGTTTTTTGATTTTGTTAAGTCACATCTAAAAATGTGAAACATTTAAATCATATGGCTCAGTATATGGAAAGGTTTTCATTGTTCCTTGGTGCTACTTTTCGCCAGAGATTTGGTTTCAGCAAAAACTGTTCACAGCAAATCAGATCATGTGATTTCAAGTCACGCTGTCTTTATAGCCCATAAACACAAATCACAGATTTGCTTCAAAGTGCTTTACTGTTTGAACAGCAGACTCTGTCTGGTTAAAAGATTTTTATATTTGCTCTATTTGTTAGGTGAATGTATAGGCTACCATAAAAAACAAGTGGCGGAAGAATACTTAGAAATTACAGTAGTACAGTAGCAACCGTCAATAAATACCCTATTAGGTAGAAGTCGTGTATTCCACATTTCACAAAAGTTCATATGTATAGTATCAAAATATCCTTATAGTATCAGAACTAAAAGTGCTTGTTATGCAAATTTGTCATTTCCAGTACATTATATTACTGCATTATAATTATTAATGCATCAATGTGTAAGATAAAAGTGGTGCTAGTTTTAACTAAAGCTGTCAAATAACTGTGGTTGAGTAAAAATACGATATTTGCCTCTGCGATATACTGTAGTAGAAGTATAAAGTAGCATAAAATAGAAATACTCATTGTACTTAGGTATAGCACTTTACTAGGTTATGTATATGGTAAATAAAAATCCATGAATGCTTCTGTTTGGTACTGATGATGGTTTTAAATAATGGTTTGCTTGTTTTTTCCTGGAGGTTACAGTTATGAAAATACTGTGCATGGCAAAATTGGTGAAGTTCAGGAACTGGATTTAAGAACTACAGAGGTTGTAATTACAAATTTACCCAGGAAAACTGTTTATATTTACATATTATTTACCAGTTTCTGTACATTTCTTTCCTAATATGATGAGGTTTATTGAAAAGCCACCCTACCCAGAACATCACTGTGGTTGAGATGTTACTCACAAGCTATACAAGTACAGCACGTTAAAAGAAAAAAGTCACATGCTCACTTATAATAATGTTTAGTCACTTTGCTTTTCTTAATAGTGACACATTGTTTAAGCAGCAATAAAAGTAAGTGTGAGAACAAGAAAATGAAATATACATTTTTGTTATGACATGCAAATGATAATGCCACATCCAGTAACTTCTGACAGATGTCATGGTGTCAGGCGTTCAACCTACCTCTTCTGGATATGCACTTGTTGATGAAAAAGAAGATGAGGCCAAGCACCACACTCGCAAATATCATCCCAATTATCACCAATAAGTTGAATTTGCGCAAAAAATCCATGGGTGCTCTTCTCAACACTACAGAAGATTAAATAATATCACATTAAACTGTAAGAAACCTCACAATTCATAACATCTCAGTCGTCGCTTTTCAGCACTGTGGATCGGAGCGAAGTCTATTCACCACTTCCCCTTTTTGTGCATGACTGAGTGTTAGAGTTATTTTGGTATTTACATTAGCATTCTGAGAATCAAACAAGCCTGGTGATGATCTCTAGGGGTTATTTTCTTCTGAACAATAAAGATGTGGTAGTTTTTGTTGTGAGCTTAGACGTTTACAGATACTTATCTCAGCTGAGCAGTTTTTAAATTAACTATTTCTGACAGCTATGAAGATGTATTTATTCCCTTATCTTGTAAATGCTCATTTTTCTGTTTATCTTCTTGCACCATATCCTCTTTTTATGCAACAGTTTCCTGCCATTAAAAAAGGACTAGTCAAATACTGCTGATTCAGACCTAAAGTAAGTCTTACAGTGTGCTTTTTTTTCATCTGTACCAAGTGACTTTTTTAGTTCCTGCTTTTACTTTTTATATCAATACATCTATTATTTGCATATAGTACATAATAAGACAGTGTTTATTATACATAATTGGATCATAGACATTGATCTCTACGTCCAAAGTGTTATCTTGCCCAGTACTCAAAATGTCCCTTATCCTTTCAGAACACAACAATCATCACACATCAACAATGACAAAAGTAATCTCATACTGTATTTGCATGTAGGCTTTTAGTTTTCTTTCAAAATGTAAGTCTGCAAAACAGCAAAACCTTTGCTGAGTGAACTTGAAATTATAAACTGACTCAACTGTTTGGTCACACAGGCACTCAGTGCAGAGAGATAAGTTTCTGTGTTTTGAATTAGATTAAAAAAAATCTAATTATTGTTCTGTTAACTTTGATCAAAGAGAATAAAAATTATTATTTTTATGACTACATGTATTCATCCACTATTCATCTGGTTGATGTTTCAGCCTGGACTCACTTGGAGGGCGATTCTCCCCCTAGTGTTTTCAGTGAGGATGACTGGCCAGCTCCAGGGCTTTCATATGGCTATGTGTATTTTCCCACTGCTCATCTGGACAACCTCTCAGCCTGGGCTCACCTGGGGGGTGATTCAACCCCTGGTAAGTTCAGTGAGGAAAGCTTGGCAGCTCAAAAACTGTAGTTGAGTAAAGCTGAGAAAACTTAAAAAGTAAAACAACCAGCTGCAACATCTTCTTGTTTTCTCAACTAAAGGCTTTTTAATTGTACCAACTTAAGTTAAAATTACTTAAAATTGGCAGTCAGGTCAACTTAAAACCATAAGCTTGTTTTTTCTATTGTTTAACATGGGGAATTTCAAATTGTAACTTTTGCCAAATGATAAATGGAAGTCTCCAAAACAGCAAATTTTTTGTTGAGTGAACTTGAGATTATAAATTGACTCAACTGTTTGGTCACACAGGCACTCAGTGCAGAGAGATATGTTTCACTGTGAACGAACATGCAATGAACAAAACTTTTATCATCTCTCATAACAAATACATAACCAATTTATGTCTACAGTACTGCTAAACTGGCAGAAATATCATTTAAATTCACATTGTAAACTTGTTTTTTGAGTTAGATTAAAAATCTAATTATCGGTCAGTTATTTTTGATGAAAAAGAAAAAAATGCAAATAGGGATTCGTCTGACTACATGTATTCAACCTCTGATCATCTGGTTGACATTTCAGCATGGACTATACTGTACACATCACATAAAAATTTGAGCAACACGTTGGAACAGAAAAACTGGTCAATAAAAACATAAAACAATAAAAATACAAGACAGTGATGTAAAAATAATAATCAATAATTATAGTCCAATAATATGATATACATTAATATGAATTGTGTCATTCTGCATAATGAGCATTTTTACTTTTGTTACTTTAAATATACTTTAATGCTAATACTTGTGTACTTAAGTAACATTTTGAATTGTTTTTCAAAGAGAACATATTAACGGTCACTTCATATGGTCTCGGGGCCCAGTTTTAGTAACATCTCAAAAAGACATTGCTAAGCTGTAACTTTATGGATTTTATTTTGAAAGTTCAACCGGAAAGCGCGTTTTCCCCATCGCTAGTTTAACACTAGTTGTGATGTTAGCTTGTGTTATTGGACACTCCTAGCTCTTAATCCACTGCCCTGGTAATTACCCCCTCAAGCCCTCTCGGGAAACCATGGCCGAGCAGGCCCCGGGATCCCCTCTGTCGTCCCAACCTGACGGTAAATTTCAAGTGTTTCTGGAGTTTTGCGGAGGGAGAACTGAGGGCTGGGAGCATCGAAGTCAGCGGCCTCTGCATCCTTGACAACATTAGCTAGTTAGCATCATCAGGGCGACGTGTCACTGGCTGTCACTTGCTCACATTGAATATTTAATAGTACACCACGGGTGCATTTACCAATATTGACTTGAACTAATTAGTTACTATGGAGTTACATCGCTAAGTAAGAGCTGTGTGTTACTGCACACTAATATGACCAAGCTAGCGTTAACGTTGTTTTAGCTTTATTACTCGCACTGCAACATAGCTGGTTAGCTCGTAGCTGAAGACAGTCTGACTAATGTGATCTAAAGGTCGGCTCCGGCCTGCGTTAACCTGGCCTAGTCTCGTAAATCTTTCACATGTATCATATGGATCTTATCAGCCCATAACTATGTGTTGTGTTTGCCCTATACACACTCCCTCTCTTGTGGGTTGGACCGTAATACAGGAGGTTGATCCTAGAGGGGATGTCTCCCTCCGGTAAACGGGACCGGGGACTATCGTGGGGTGTTACAAATAATATATAATTTAATATTCTAGGATTTTATTTTGTATTACAGTCTCACCTACCAGACAGCAGTTCCTGGTTACTTATTAGGTTGTGCCCATCATCTAAGCAGGTATGGAAGAAGGTGGCAAATTATAGACTACAGTAAGCATAAGTGTAGGATGTAAGAGCAATAAAAATGATTATCAGAACTGCAAAGAGTAGCTGATTAACCAATACGCTGATGGACAGAAAAATTACTTGAAATTATTATTCAAATAATTATTTTGATGTAAAAATGCCAAACATTTGCTGGTTGTGTGTTTTTCACTGCATGCTTGGGTCTAAAGTAAGGTCATTTTTTTCATGCTGCAGTTTCATTGTTGTGGACACATGAGAAAAGCACACAATGGTCTGATTTTTCTTGTTGCCTTTTTATGACTCCTACAAGCATCAGAGAGCACCCTAACGCCCCCAGTTCTCTGGCAGTCAGTCTTTGTTTGTTACCATCGGGTTGCAGAACATGTTAATGCTTTGCCAAATTTCTTCATTTGGTCAAGTGAGCCCAGCTCAGTAAAGTCTCATTCTTACTATATTTATGATTCAGCACTGAAATGTATCATTGTATAAACCTTGACAAACCTGAAACATTTCACCCTAGCATTGTTCTGCCTTGTAAGTTTGATTACAGAGCTTAGAGCTGAAACATCAGTTGCAAAACTGATAACCAAGGATAGCCTAGGATATCCAAGCTGATGGCAATGTATGGAGATATTGTGCAGATTAACTGATAATTAAAAACCCAGCTATTTTCAGCCCTTCTATATGATCATGTGATATTTGATCTACAGTATAAAGCCATAGTTTTTAGATGATGCTGTAGAAAAACCCCTCACTCTGCAGCCATTTTTAACAGGTAGTAATGCACAAAGTGTCTATATACAGTAGTTAGCATAGTATTTTTGCACATTATGCTACAAATGTTCATTAGTAAATCTAAATCTCGATCCACTGTCCGGTGTCTATATTGACACTTTTTGTATGGATTGATCGAAAACCTATCTAAAACCTCTTTAGTTACACACTTGTTACTTAAGCTACTATCCTATTAGTTGGTATGTTCATTTTCAGTAAACTTCAGCAGATTGATGCAGCATGGCTTTTGGAAGGTGGCGTGATATTGATCTGAGTTGATTTAGTGTTGCTATTGTATTGGTTAATCACTGGTAGAAATGTAATGGTATGAAAATGTAACAGCATGGTTACAGTGTTATCATGGTACTGTTAAAATGTGTTGAAAATGTTCAAAAAGTACTTCCACAAATGGAAATAATTCATTTAAGGTTTTATTTTGAAAACCTCAAATAATTATTAGCATCACTATGCATTGTGTATGCATAATCATAAAAAACACCCCATATCCAACAGCCATAGTCTTTTGTAAACATAGGAAAATGTATCAAATGTGCATTAAACCCAGTAGCATTACTGGGCTTGTGTGCTGCATGCTCACTCTGTGAACAAGGGAATAGCTGTTATTATTATTATTATTATTATCATTAATAACATACTCACATATTCAATCTTATTTGAAAGCAGTACAACTAAAAATAACACCTGTGATTTGTGATACAGTACGTTGTGAAAGTGCCTAACATATGCTGAATGCTATAACTCATCATAAACCCATGTGAATATGTTTTGAACTTGCGTAAGGTTGGAATTTGTACTTTCGAGCCTGTACATGACTGTGTTGGGGTCGTACCTAACTGCCATGCTGCTCATGTTTGTACTGTAAATGTTTCCATTGTTCTGTCTGTGTTTGAGAATATCACTATTTCTCTTCGTGACCCCACTGCTTTTAAATAAAAAGGGAAATAAATAAGATATAAGCTGCTAAAAGTAGGAAAAACCTGTGACTTCAAACCAGTTTGGAAGAATTGTACAGTCATGCTTTATGCCAAGGGACAGGTTAATTTTCCTCTAAATTTTAGGATGTGTTTAGGAAAACTCATAAATCCCCTGCTGTGTGTTATTACAAATAATATCATGTGACTGTTTGTTGTGCTGAAAGCCAAAACTCTAGTCCCGGTATCACAAAGGTTAGCAGAGAATGTGCCTGTGCACATTGTTTGATGTCAGATCAAGATGAAAAACATCAGTGTATATTAGTATACTTTAGCTTTTATAATGAGAAAAACAGATATGTTAAATGATATATGATTAATTAATGCACTCAGCAGTTGTTCAAGACTAAGAGCAATAGAGAGTTAACTCTTAAATTTGTTAAATTAATAATGGCTACCTTTAGGTTACAACTGAATTGATGCCAGACTGATTGTTTGCTTATTTGTATATTTGTTTGTTTATTTACCTATCATTGGTTCTGAATCATCATCAATTTATGTAATTAACACTTGATTAATTACAGTCCCCTGTGTTTGTTTCTTCCCTTAATCCAGAGGTGCTCCAGCGAATGGCAGCTCTGGAGCAGGAGAGGGCCGAGTTCATCAAACTCAAGCAGCAGCTTGAGGCTGAGTTCAACCAGAAACGAGCAAAATTTAAAGAACTCTACCTGTCAAAAGAAGGTTTGGATGCAAACTCTCTGAAATCTTACATATTGCTCCTTGTTTTGCTAGATGAATCATTCATGAGAGAGCTCAGCTGGGTAATAAGTTCTCAGAGAGAATGGAAGTTTTACCTTTTCCCTTTTCTCCTGATTCCTCATTTCTCTCTTTTTGCACGTTTGCCACCCCTCCATCCTTCATGTCATTTTTGATCTTTCTCATCACTCACCAGAGGAGCTAAAGAGGCAGACTGCAGCTCTGGAGGGCGCCCGGGCTGAGCTGATCTCTGTAGAGGCCCAGCTGGCTCAGGCCCGGGCCGAGATGGAGACCATCAAAGCGGTGGCCACTGTATCAGAAAACACCAAGCAGGAAGCCATCGACCAGGTCCGCAGCCAATGGCAGGAGGAGGTGGCCTCACTGCAGGCCATCATGAAAGGTAAACTGAGCTGCAATTACTGTACATTGTGCCTTGCAGCTAAAACCTCTTTTCTTGGTCTTATGGTATCATTTAACAAAGAGCATTATTAAGTTACACCAAATTTACTCTGGTTTTAAATAGAATCAAACTGTTCAGAATAATTCTAAAATCTTCCTCCAGGTACAAACAGCACTAAATATGAGAGTTCTGTTTGGCTCTGATAGTATTA